CGCCCCTGTGATTGTTTATGTGTCAACTTGACTGGATCATGAGATCTCTACGTATCTGGTAGACATTATTTCAGGGTGTTTCTGAGGGTGTTTCTGGAAGAGATTAGCATTGGAATCAGTAGACTGAGTAAAGTGAATTGCCTTCCCCAATGTGGGTGGGCATTACGCACTGTATTGAGGACTGAATAGAAGAAAAAGATGGAGGAAGAAGAATTTACCCTCTCTCTTCCTGACCGCTTGAGCTGGAGTATCAGTCTTCTCTTGACCTTTGATGCTCCTAGTTCTATAGAGATGTCTTTCTCCCAGAGGGAGATTTTAATCTGCAGGTTAAAGACTTTTAATTGACCCCCCTCCCCACACCCCCCAAGTCTCTTTCCCTGTCCCTGTTTTGCTGTGTAATTTAAGCTTGAAGAAATCAGGTAATTTGTTCTATGTCTAGATTTTATTGAATGCATCCCCATAGTGCAGTTTAACATGTTTCTCTGCCCTGTTATGTCTTGCTAGCTGGCAGTTGAATCTACAGGTTTGATCAGGAGCTGGAGGATGGTGATTTAAGATACATTTTCAGTGTCCGACTTCAGAGCTCACTCTTCCCTTCTCCTCATGTAGTATCACCAGGCTGCTGGCTTACTTTCTGAGATCTCCTGGCTTTTTTCCCTCTTCAAGTCTGGATCTCCTCTCTCCTATTTCTGTCACCTGCAGCGTTTGGATTCCATTCCCAGCACTTTCTCCTCAGTTGGGGAAATGGAGTTAGGGTTAGTTAGCTCTGAGGGTTTATGGGCCCTGATGTGCTCCAGTCCCTTCTGAACTCATCACGTACCCATTGCATGCACCTGCTTCTGGACTATGCATGGCTCTTCTCCATTTCAGCTGCTGTCCTCAAATTGGCCCACTGAGCTTTCCGGTGCATCCCTGTCAGCTTGATTGGTATTCTCAGTCTGTCTCATGTCCCTGCTGTTTTTCTCTGCTTTCACTCGCTAATACCACACAGCTCTGTAGCTATTGGTGGTTTGTCTCTGTTGTTACTTATATTTTGAGGTGGTGGGGATACTTTGTGGTAGTAGTTGTCCAAAGATTTTGGGCTTGCTACTTACTTTGTCTACTTTTTTAATCGGGGGAATTTAGGGAGGTTAAAAACTCATGCCAGTGATGTTGCCATTTTCCCACTATTTCTTCACACTTTATTTTTAAGTAAAAAATGTTAAAATGTTATTAAAATTCCTGAGAGATTATGTTGCTTGATTTGAGTTTTGTTGTACTGCTTTGATTATAAAGGACGGATTATGTTGAAAAGCAGAGGTTAGTGTCAGAGACAAATAATTTTGGAGGCTTTCTCTGATAATTTAAAGAAGGAAGTAGGTCTGGAAGACATAATGTTTCATGGCCTGGGCATGAGAGTAAAGGATATGGTCTCAAAAGATGATGGAAATTTATATTCCAAAGGGGGTCTGAACTGACAAATTGCATCAGTCCATGGAGAGGAACGAGTGTTTCTCCTGTTTTTGATTTTGGGTATAACATGAAGACTTCTGGCTTAGATTCCCCATAGGCTCACACCATGACACCAAAAGTGTGTTAGAACCGTCTTCTTGGTAAATAAACTAATGAAACGTGTAGATTTTATCATATGGGATCTAACAGAATGAAAAATCATTATCCTTATTTTAATATGGAAGTTTCCTCTTGATAAATTGAGAGTTTCCCACATAATAGTTATACCAAAGAGACAACATTCCTATGAAGTATAATTGTCAAGCACTATAATCCCCATTACAGAGGAAGGAAACAGAAGTACCTCATTCATTAATTTATTCATTCATCCATATATCCAATTGAGCATGGTGATACAAATATACTAGTTATGTTAAATCAAGTAATAAAACTCAAGAGTGCAAAAAAATTTAAAAGAAAATTGTCTCAACGTTGAGATCTCGCTCTTCCTGAGGCCAGAAAACTTCACTTGGTCAATTCCACCTGCATTTCTGTTACCCACAAATCTCTTCTGTCCCCACATAATTTCTGGCTAAAATGTAATCACTTTAGAATGATCTGATTCCCCTTGTTCTTCTCAGGGTAGCAACTAAACTCTTTGGGGTGGAGTGCATAGGTAGGAGGTAAGAAGAGATATCTGATTTCAGATGTGAACACCCTTGCCTTTGACCTCAGAAGCTGATGTCCACGTTTCCATTGCTTTTGGATCACTGATCTATGCACTCAGCTGTGTCCTTAATTTTGACCTCTAGGCCATTCAACCCTTTGTAGTCCTCCCAGCCTCTTTGAAGGGTCTTTATTGCCATAGACACTAAAGAACAGGTTTGAGGGCTTTCCTCTGGCTCTTCATACACAAATGTTTCATGCCAACATGCTGCTGTCTGTTGGCTTATTAAAGAAAACCCCCAGGACCTTGGTTGTTTTCCTGATCGCTGTGCTAGTAATAGAACTCAGATCTTTTCTGTCTTCAGATCTTAGGAACATATCTCGGGGTTCTGTTATTTTTAACTCCATAGTTTCTTTTAGGCTAATCTTGACTGTGAAGACGAGGCACAAGTCCCTTCTTGGGAGATACACACTAATACCTCTAGGATGAGAAAATTGGGTCCTCTTTGCGGCAGACTGCATTACTGTTTATAATTAAATCACCACCCATCACTGCCCTGTAAGATTGTACTCCATGCCTATTGACATGTGATTTGCCTCTGGAAGCTGTCGACTTCTCCAGTGACTTGGGGTTTGGATCTATGAAAGGTTTTGGCCAATAGGATTTGAGTGGACATGTCATGATACATTGGAGAAGCAGTTTTAAGAGGTTTCATGTGTTTCCACCAGCTCTCTGGCTCTTCCCATATGCCGTGAGAATTGCCAAGTCCCAAATAAGGGCTGCTTCTTCAGCCTGGGACCTGGAACAAGAAGACCCAGGGAGCTGATCCACAGCATGTTATTAATACAAACAAGAAAACTTTGTGGCAATTCGCCATTGGGATTTGGGCGTTATTTGCTTTTACAGCAAAACTAATACATTATGGTCTAATGTCTGTCTTTCTTTCAGCTCTTTAGAAGCTGAAACTCATGAAGTACAGCTACTGCGAAACCAAACCTTTGACTTATGAGACTATTGTCACACCATGAGCTTGAAATCTATTAAACAAACATCTGAGAGTTGCTTCTTCTTTCTTCCTGAGGCAGGGAAGGAAGTGCTCTGGCTGTTTGGGAAGAGTCTGAGACCAGAGGTAGAGGACATGGAAATGTAGGTGTATGTGTACAGAGCTGGGGGATGACACGCCTCAGTTAATATTTCATATTTTTGTCCTGGCATACAAAACTGCATAAAAGAATGAAATATACCACTTGAAAACTCCAAGATAGCTATCCTTTCTATGCTTAAGGGATTTATAGGGCAGATTAGTCATTTCTTTAAGCAACTGTAACACGAGGCAATAAATACTAAGTGTGTCAGCGAGGTGTGCAGAGAAAGTGCTATGGAGCTCATTGAAGAAGAGGCCTTTAAGGATAGGTGGGATTTAGAAATGCAGGGATAGGTGAGAAAAAGCACTTTGCACTCAAGATGCAGATAGAGCTAAATTACAGAGGAGGGTGAGTGCCATGGATGGGGCCCATCCATGAGTAAACAAGTAAATGTGAGTGACTTTATTTTGTTCATCATTTAGGAGACTGGTGGGAGGGTCAGGTCAGAAAGCTTAGCAGAGGTCCAGTTGCAGTCCTAGCTAAAGAGTGTAGACTGTGACATGGCTAAAGAGCATGCAGAAAAAGGACTGGAAAGTGGATTTCAGCAGCATTTATTCTTTTAAAAACAATGTGTCCATGTAAAATTTTGACACATAAAGTATGTATACATAAACAGTTGGAGAATCAATTCAGAAAAATTCTGTTATCTATTTAACCATGATAGATTACTCTCCCCAAATGGCTTGGGTATACTAGCTGTGTGTGTATGATTGCTAAACAGTCACTGTATTTATGAAGTCATTTCTGGAAAACAGTCAATCTGGTTTGTTGTTAGTGGTACTGGATGCTATGTTTCAGTCAAAGAAACAGCCTTAATTGCCTGCAGTAGTTGCTTGCTAGGAGGGCACATCTTGCTATATTTAGATCTCCTTGACATTTTAATTAATGATTAAAAAATAAGCACATGAATGTGTGAATATACCTAATGGCACTGAAGTGTACACTTAAATGGTGAAAATAATAAATTTATGTATATTTTGCCACCCTCGGTCCCCCCCCCCATCTTCTTATGGAATAGTTTACAAATTAATAGAAGTTTGGAGCTGGAAATTCCTCAGCTCATCTCTCTAAGTCAACTCTACAGGTGTTGAAGTTGCCTACGTGATGATGTGACATTCTAGCATTAGATAACCTCTTCCTGGTCTTTCCTACTCTGCAGATAGGGATCCAGGGGTCAGGAGAAAGTCTTCTCTTTCTCTTGCCCACTGTAGCATAGGAGAGAGGGTGTGTGTGTGTGTGTCTGTGTGCCCTGGCGCGCACAAGCGCTCTTGTCTGATTGGAGACCTCTGAACCGTCAGCCGCGCTCTTCTTCCATCCTGGGGAGAGGTGCAGTTTAAAGGTTCTGTCACAGCACTTTAAAGGATCCTGGACAATTTGGCAGGAGCTTAGGAGGCAACCATCGGACTGAAGGCGCGGCTGGAGTGAAAAGGTTTGGATCTCAACGACAGGAGATGAAAGTTGGCAAAAGCTCTGCCCAAGCTTTTGCTCTGGATCAACTTTCCAGCGTGTTTGTGATGAACAGCACTTAGGACCTGTCCGTTGGGTGGTGCACCCTCCTTCCGCCCTGTGCTTGTTTCCCATTCCCGCCCCAGGGGCCCTGCTATCGCAGTGCCCGCACTTGTCCCGCGCACACCCGGCCTGTCAGGGATGCTGGAGACACGCGTGCAGCCGCCGCGGCCGCCGCCGCGGCCGCCGCGGCCGGGCTGCCCCGCCTGGCACATGCGCAGTGGAGACGCCGGGCCGGCGCCTTCAGTCTCCTCCTCCGCCGCCTCCCGGTTCCGCAGTCACTTCCTGCAGCTGTTTCCCAGTGGGTACGGCTGGACTGACTTTTGACAGTCAGCCTTCAGCTGCGGAGGGGGCTTGGCGGGGGCCAGCCGGGAAAGTTGCGTCGAGAGAGGCGGAGTTGAGCCGGGCCGAGCCGGGTGCGCGGGACAGACGGTGGCGGGCGCCCGGCGTGGACGCGGCGCCCAGACTCCCCGCGCGTCCCGAGGGTTCCGGTAAGTGCCGGCGATCGCGAGCCGCGGGGCATTTAGGACGAGCTCCGGAGCGACGGCGGCTAGCGGTTCTTTCGGGTGCGGGCTTTCCACCTGCCCTCCACGTGACAGGCTTGCGCTGCTGATATTTGTGTTTGTTTTTGAGCATTTCACGTGCACCTTTTGGATGGTCTAGGCGTGCTGCTGCCTTGGCCCTCACGCTTGCCCCCGCCCGGTGGGAGACCGGGGATTCCATCTTTCGTGATGGCATCCTTATGGGATCGAGGTGCGTGAGTGTGTGCGCGCTCGTGTTTATGCAGGCACATATTAGGAATGTAAGGTATACGTGGGCGATACTGAAGTGTATGTAGCTTAGATTCAAACGTGTAAATGGTTCCCTTGGGTTCGGAACCGTCTTAGCTGAGACTGGAAAACATTCGCCAATTCACCAAGGCCTCTTCTCCCCCAGATCCCTGCATTCTTCTGAATCTTCCTTATATGATAGACCTTGCCTCAGCTGATTATTTTTCTATTTTTCTCTCTTTCATTACTTCTCGCTGCGTTCTGATGACCTCTGAGTAATGCTCACCATTTCCCCTCATTTCCTGAATTCCCAATTACTGTAGACTTCCCTAGTTTGCTGTGGTACCAATAACCTGTTCCTTTACACTGTATTCTTTCCTCTGTAGGTTTCTCCAACTGAGAAAGTGATTGTCTTTAATACAGTATGTGAAAAGTAGGCCCCAGTCTGATCATGAAAACTATGCCGTGATCATTCCTTTTCTTCAAACAGGGTACACCATGAAAGCTTGACTTTCTTTATTGTTCCCTCAACCCCTTCCAAACCAGGACGTTAACCACCATAAGTCCTTCGTTTATGCCACTTAAAGCATCAGATTGAATGGTTTTTAAGGTCTGAGGAATATATTATTTACATTAGCCATCAAGTTAGTTTCTTTTACTCTAATGCAGTAGTTGAACGGATCCGAGTCACATACGCTTTGGGTTTCTCTATATTCTATCACTAATGCTTTCACTAAAGACTAGGTTTTATTTCTTTTAGATTTAATTTTTATGTTAGGTTTTTTTTTTTTTCCCCCAAGCATGGTAATACTTGATGTAGTTGTCATGCACATATCCTTTTTGGGAGTTGACATTATCATTTTGCTTGTTAAATATCACAAGAAATAATTTTGGAATATCTGGCTATTCTTTAAAAATTATAAAGATAAAATGTGATAATGGGTAGTTCGTACTTGGCAAGAATTTTTTCCGTAACGCACAGGATTTTATCACCTCTGGAAGGGCCCTCTTGGACCTTTGTGCTTTGAGACTGGACTTTATTTTGATGGAAACCTGTAGGCAACACTGGGGGGATGCGTGCTGGAATTTCCTCAAGTGGGAGTGAGCTTTCATAAAACAAGTCCAGACATGTCTAGGCAATCAGTAGTGTTTGATTTTGTTTGTATTGTCAATTTCCTTTATCCAGATGTTTCAACACTCTCCTCCATTTTCTGAACTGGCAGCTTGTTTGTGGCAGTTTGGTAGCAGTATGTCTCTGTACAGGTGGCATGTGTAGTCTTTTAATATTAGGGATTATTATAATTAGATAGCTAACTTTTTGAAAAAGTGGCTTTGTCTCCTTAGTTTTCCTTTTTCAAATATCCATGCCTGTCTTGTTTGATTTAATCGAGAAGAATAATATGATTATAGAGAATCTGACTTTTTAAAGGTTCTAAATCTGTATTGCTTTTCTTTATGTTCTTAGAGATATGGACAGTATACTTCTGCTTAAGAATAAAATAATATTGTTCTTTTAAATATTATGATGAATGAGAAGTATTGTTGAATATCATGACTAATAATTTTTGTATTTTGCTCTTAACTCCGTTATTTTGCCATTGCCCTGATATCCTCTGCTGCCCCCAGACCCTGAATTTAGTATAAAAGTTATTACTTGATTGCAGTTTCCACAGGTATACTTATAATTGTGCTAAAAGAGATGTTTAACTTTTTAAAATTTTGGTTAATTTTAGTAAATCTATTATCATCAGAAAATGTACACATTTCTATTGCAGCTGGAAAATTTCAGCAGTTTAAAATAGCCATATTTTATTGACCAAGAAAAGAGGTTTTAGTAGTGTTGAGAGAGTGGAAGGAGTTGTGTGTTTTGGAGTAAGGATTTTAATTTGGGTTAATTAGAATCATGGGAACTCAGAGTGTGTACTGTGGTTCATTTTGAGATACTCAGGGTTAGAAGATGCCAGCTGGGTGGGAGGCTGGAGAAACCATGTATAAAATTGAAGAGGTATTGGAACATATTGGATCTTTTCTGAGCAAAACAGAATTGAGATTATCAGTTACTTAATAAAAAGGAGAAAGGAAATTGCTGAAAGACCGATGAGGAACTAGAATTAAATTGGGCTAATGGTAGTGTGATCCATTACCTCATAGGACATTTAGTTGATACATTATTTTATGCAGGTAATTTATGGCTAGAAGAAGAGAAAATATTCTGATTTTTTTAGGCGACTCATGAATGTAAGGCCATACAAAGTGGGGTCCTATGCTTAAGGGCCTACAGGGAGCAGGCAAGTAGCACAGATACAGACAGCAGGCTAAGTGGGGAAGAAGGTGGCCCCAAGAAGGCAAGCCTGGCTACTGGCCTCTCAGCCTCTCAGCACTGACTAGCTAATTGTCCATATAGGACCAGGTGCCAAGTGTTGCCAGATCATCCTTTTATCAGGAGAAGCCAGGAATCTCTTGATTTTTAAATGTTGATGACTAATTCAATTTAAAAAGTGAAAGCAAAACAAAACACTGTATATTCCAAACAGAGGACATCTGAAGTTGCATGTGGCCCACACGCTGTCTACAGCCTCTGCTGGGAGGAATCATTGGCTTACCTATTTAACTATTACTGGTTGATGGGAAGGAACTCTTTTGTTTATTTTTGTTACATTGTAACTGAGTTATTCCTAAACTTCCTTGATATTTTAGCTAGCTCTCAGAGTGTTTTCAGGGTTCCAAGACATGACAATCTTTATTTTGCTCTTTTTGACATCATCTGGATGGAAAGACTAGTTTGGATGGAAAGGAGACATTTACTAAGGTTCTTAGCCTGTAGTGTTTTTGTCTATGCATAATTATCATCAAGAGTATTTAAGTGTAAGTGTGCCTGAGGGAAGGGGTCTGGACTAGGTGACCTTTGATGTCCATTTCAGCCATGTGACTTTTAGATTTAATTAGCCATGGATGCAATGCTATTAATGTTCATGGGCCAGAGGGACCGCAGTTGGAGCTGTGCCAAGCAAAATAAAGCGAAATCTATAAAGCTGTTCTCAGTGGAAGAGCATAGTGTCAGTGTGGATTAACAGACAGGGGAGGTCTGCTAGAGGAGGCAAAAAGAAATCCCAAAGGTGGCTTGGAGAAGTAGAGGAAGGGGTCAGGTGGTGTGGTCATTTACATGTCATATTGCTGAGGTCACATTTTTAAGTGAGCATTTTTTTTTTCCCTCTTGATTCAGATTTGAAGACCTGACTTCTCATCGCCCATTGGATTATGCCCAAGGCTTTCCTACCCAATGATCCTCTTGCAACACGCCGGGCTTCCTCTGCCTAAGCGGCCCTCATCCTCTCCTCCTATGTCAGTGGCCGCCAGGTCTACAGGAACCTTGCAGCTTCCGCCACAGAAGCCTTTTGGGCAGGAGGCTTCCTTGCCTCTTGCAGGGGAAGAGGAGTTACCTAAGGGAGGAGAGCAAGACTCTGCCCTGGAGGAGCTATGTAAGCCCCTGTACTGCAAACTCTGCAATGTCACCTTGAACTCAGCGCAGCAAGCCCAGGCTCATTATCAGGTAAGGAAAGAAAAGAAAACCAGGAATTTAGTGAGAGAATGTTTTAGGGCTTTGCCCATTTCAGAGTCATGTCTCCAGATATGACCAATTGTGCCTGGAATAATCAAGATGGCTTAGTGAAGAACTAGATATTAGTTTGTCTGATAAAAAAGCATAAGGTTCCTACATTAAAAGAGAGCATCACGTTTCACAGAATGGGCTCTCAACGTAACTGTGTGGCATTTGATAGCTTACTATTTGTTGTAGGCAAACGTTCATCATCTGTGCTCGTGGACCAACGTGCAATCCTCAGGTGAATAGGTATTTGAAACATAATGTACCAAGCTCAGTTCAAATGGTTTATAAGAATTAGCCTTATAAATATTATCTTGTAGCTAATACAGTTTATCTCAGTGCAAGGTAATCTCTATGAATCTTACACTTTGTCTCTTTGACCTCTGACTCTTCTTATATAACCTGTCACTCCTAAGGAAAACATGTATTTTTCTGTCGTTAGAATAAAATGACGTTGGAATATTGAGACTTATCCTTCATAGGAAGCATACTGTGGTTTCTTTTAGCCCGTTAGTGTGAACTGATAATCATTTCTAAGGTTTAAAGCTTTCACCTCCATGTAGAATGGCTAGCGGAAAGGACAATTTTAAAGGGTGTTATTACCTAAGAACAAATAGAAAGCTAACTTTTGGCTCGAAAGAGAGGGTACGGTATTTCTTTTTATTGTAGATTGCTATCCGTATACAATTATGTAATTTCCTTTTTTGGAAAAAGGCGACCTGAGAAGCAACTGGGGCCAAACACCACTGAATGAAAGGATGTCTTCTGGGTCAGCATTGATTTGGCTGTTTATTCTTTGCACGAGTAGCTGCGATAGTAAGACGTAAGGTAGAAAGATGACTTATACAAGTATTTCTTCCATCGTGCCACTATAACCATCTCTAACTTACGGGTTTTATTCACTGTAAGTGTAAATCTTTTTTGTTTTGTTTTGATCCTAAAGACTGATGACTGTGTCACTTGGTGATTGTACATCAGAAATATTGTGATGGTATATTGTTTTCCTGGGGATTTGGGGGAAGAGACAATGTGTGGCTTCCCTGGAGTTCCCTTTGTTTGGGTTTGTTTGGCCCTCAGGTGCAGAGGATTGAGGTAATTATATCTCAGATCTTGGCACATGTCCTCATTGGTGCATGAAGGCATCTTCTGGTTTTATTTTTACATTTTCTCCCCTTCTCCAGCCCCACTCTCATTCTCTCTGTGTACCACTCTCCACCACAGTGTTTGATACAGGGTCTTCCTTTGCCTCTTTTACTGTTTGAGGGGAGTCAGGGTGATGCTTGTCAAACCCAAGACTCAGTGCTAGTTTTCCTCTTCATTTATTCCTGCAGAATGGCCAGTTTTATAGGCTAAGACTCACTTTGAAAAATCAAGCTTAAGTTCTCAAGTTTTGATTTTTAAGTCATTAACTTGAGAGAAAACCTACCTGTGTGTGCCCTTTAAAGAAGAGTTGTGAGGTAAAACTCTTGGGCAGTGTGTAATTTTAATATGTGTGTATGGATTATATCTGTATCTCCTGCCTTTTTCCCCCTCCTAATATCATGTTATGGCTCTATAGACAGTAATGGATGCTTCTGGTTATGAATAGAGAGAATTCAATTTGAAGAGGGTCATTGGATTGTAAGGCTTAACCTAGATAAGAAACAATCTGCATTTATTTGTTGTTGTTTTTTCTTTGATTTTACATTTGTGTGTGTGTGTGCGCGCACACATGTGTGCTCTGAACTTTTTAGTTGGTAAGATTAGTAATTGTACTTAATTTCAGCTCTGTTCATGATATGGTAAATATGTAAATTAGAAAACATGAGAACAGGGAAGTGAAATTTAGATAAATGTTTCTATAATCAGAATTTTTAAGGGGAAAAGTTGGAGAAGGATAGCCTGTCATAGTGGATAATTTAAGCAGCCAAGAACTAGGGTAAAAATAGAGTAAAGAGAAGCAAGTGGGTATAAAGAAAGCAGAACCTAATGGAAAATTAAAAGTTTGGGGTTTTTCTAAGTTTGTTTCTAAGAGCTTAGAAGCAAAGATTTGAAAGAAGTCAGTGTTATTGTTAAAGAGGGAGGTTTTTTGTTTTTGTTTTCCCTTTACAGAGAAACAAGGGAAAGCTGTTAATGTATGACATGTGAAAGTATGGAACAATTTTATTAGCATAGTATAGAAGGAAAGTTAATTTTATTTATTTATTTATTTATTTATTTATTTATTTATTTAGAGAGGGAGAGAGAGAGAATCCCGAACAATTTTATTAGCATAGTATAGAAGGAAAGTTAATTTTATTTATTTATTTATTTATTTATTTATTTATTTATTTATTTATTTATTTATTTAGAGAGGGGGAGAGAGAGAATCCCGAACAGGCTCTGTGCTGTCAGCGTAGAGCCTGATGCAGGGCTTGATCTCATGAACTGTGAGATTGTGACCTGAGCTGAAATCAAGAGCCAGATGCTGAATGGACTGAGCCACCCAGGCACCCGGAGGAAAGTTAATTTTAGAAGTAAAATCTGAATGTCAACAAGATAGATGTGGTTGAGATGAGTGAGTGTGGATCAAAGAGTAGGTCAGAATAATAAACAGAGCATGGACATAACTTAGAGGTGGGTGAAACCACTACAGAAGGGAAACAGAAATGTCAGCCTGTAAGATGCATCAAAGGCTAATAGACAGTACACCAATAGACAATGATTAAAAACGGCTACTGAATGGGCGCCTGAGTGGCTCAGTCGGTTGAACATCCGACTTCGGTTCAGGTCATGATCTCACAGTTCAGTTCAGTTGCTGAGTTTGAGCCCTGCATTGCCATCTCGGCTGTCAGCACAGAGTCTGCTTCAGATCCTCTGACCCCTTCTCCCTCTGCCCCTCCCCTGCTCTCTCTCTCTCTCTCTCTCAAACATAAATAAACATTAAAAAAAATTAAAAAGAAAAGGGCTACTGAAGTCCAGGGTAAGACCAGTGAGTAAGGCTTACCAAGAACCAGGAATAGGCAGAACAGCAATGATTGTAAGTAGGCTAATAAAACAAAGTGGTTGATGAGGTGATGGAAAGTTTTACTTCTGAAAACCTGCTTTATAATTTTTAATACCGAGTGATACCAAGACCACAAATTCACTATTTCTCTTATGCGTGAGATAAAAGGGGTCAGTGGTAGCCTGTTTATAAGCTAGAAACAGGTTTGTGTGAAATGATAAATCACGGTGATTACATTACTCAAAACGTTTTAGTCAGTTGGTGCCATTGTTGAAATCGCAAAGTTTCAAATTGCCCAGGGTATTATAAACAACCTTCAGTGTGGTGTGGGCAGTGTTATGCTAGAGTCTAACTGTATCATGTTCCAGAAATCCAGGACACACAATGGAAGCTGCTCAATATTTCCCTTTAAACTCACCACCTTCTTTCCCTGACATCCTGATGTTCCTGTGTTGGGGCTGCCTTCGCAATGACCCCTGTGTATCTGTGGTCACCACAGATTTAGTTTTATTCCCAGGTCTTTTTAACCCAGTCCATCTGCTTCAAAATACCCTGAGTTGTTTTACTTTTAATGAGATTACCTATTTTTACAGTCTCACAATTATGGCTTCAGTTATATCTTAATTTAAAATAAAACCTTTGGAGGAAAAACATATCTTCGTTTTATTAAAATCTGTCTGCAGGCTTCAGGTCACTTAGGGCAAGCCTGGCATGGAGTAACACAACACTGTTTTAGCAGCAGACATGCCCAGAGGAAGAACTACTTTGGATAGACGGTCGTTAGCAGAAATAAAACAAGCAACCAAAAATGGATAAATTTTGCCAGGGCATCCACAATTGAAAATAAAGTCAACCAATTTATTTGCTAATTTGTGTGTCGATTTGAAAAATAACTGCTCACTCAAGGTGCATTTCCAAAGTTTGTCATAAACATAGATCTATTTCTATTTGTAATATTTTGCAGCTAAATAACAATGTACTGTATTAATTAGATTAATTTGAAAGGGAGACAGAATGCAGGTTAAAAAAAGTAGTTCTACAGTTGTGATGCTGATTGTAGTGATGTTAATTGATAATGCAGAGAATGCAATTGATGTTATCCCAAAGTTTAGAGTACTGATTTTGGTATTTATATTTTAACATTGGCTACCCGGTTTCATGATCAGCAACTCTAATCGCAGCTAATTTTTATGTTTTTCAAAATTCTCCCATCTGGTTGTTTTCCAAACGAACTTGCAGTGGACTGAGTTTAGTCAAAATGCACTTACTAGAAGACAGGCAGTCTCTATGATCCTGCCGGTGGCTGTGTCTCACCAGCTTTCTGCCTCTCCATCCTAGTCCCCTTGACCTCGTTCCTTCTTATTTCAGAAGAGTACATATCCCTTCTTCTGTTCGAGGCTGATTCCTTGCCCTAACTGTGGATTTCATCACCTGTCATCACTTCTTTACTTCGATCAAATTAAAAACCTGCTCAGGTTTTTCTATATAAATAAAAATAGCAACAGCAACCTTTCCTGTGCTTTTAATCCCTTTCTTTGGCAACTTTTCTCTTCTCTCCTAAGAGTTCTGACAGGTATAATTGTCCTCTCCTGGTCTTCATTTTCTATTCATTCACTGCATTCTGATTTCCGTTCCAATATTCTACTGAAATGGTCCTTTCCAAGGTCACCTGTGGTCTTACAGGTCAAATCTAGTTCTTTCTCGACCTTTTGTAGCATTTGCCACTAGGAACAGCTTCCTCAAAACATTTAAAGAAATTTTAACTCAAAATAATGCATATAGAACAAAGGGCATATAATGAAAAGCAGTAATCACCTGTTCTCTCTTCCTCTTCTATCCCTTCCTTTTCTTCTCCATTCTGCCTTCCAACTCTCATCTTGTGTTGGCGATAGTTTTACTTTGACACTGTTAAGGTTGATCACATTTTTGTTTATTTGATAATCAAATTAAAATTTCTGTTGCTCTATTTATAAGGTTGATT